AGAGAAGAGGGCTGTTATTTCTAGGATGGTGTGAAGCCAGTATTACTCTAGGCGTAGAGGGGGTATCTTGATTTGTACAATGGATATCTGGAGCCAAATGGGCTTAAGAAGTTCAAAAGCCTAAGCCTGACTTTCCAGGTCCCACACAACCTCAGCCCAAGCTTCCCCGAGCCTCATCTCCTGCCCTCCCTGCCATGCCTCCTGTGCTCTGGCCACACCAAGCTCTATGCATTTCTTTCTCATGCTACTTTGCATTTCATGGTTTAATGTTCTTCCTTCTCCCTGGCCTCCCTATTGACCTTGTAAAATCTTAATTATCCTTCAGGGCCTAGCTCAGATGTTACCCTCCTCTTTCTTTGAATTGGTGCCTCTATAATTGTCAAAAGCTGATGAAATTATTCTTTCCTCTATGTATCCGTATTATTTGGCATGTGTGCCACTGTATAGAACATCACTCACAGTTGGAGGTTTCCTTAGCTCTGTGTGACCAAGAAAACCTCAAGCTTCTGAGCAGTATGTAGCATCCCCTTCCCATCCCTTCCTCCAACCTGAATAGATGTTTATCGAACTGAATGGTCCATAGCTCCTTAGAAATTATAAAGTAGTGGTAATTCTGGAACACAGGGGCCCTTGAGTCTTAGTCCACCATTATTTGAGTTTCTGGGGCTTCCCTGGTGGCTGAGCAGTAAAGAATCTGCCTGCCAAGGTAGGAGATGCAAGATCAATCCCTGGATGGGGAAGATTCCCTGGAGGAATGCATGGTAACCCGCTCCAGTATTCTTGCTGGGAAGATCCCATGGACAGAGGAGCCTGGTGGGCTACGGCCCATGGGGTTGCAAAGAGTTGGACGCTGAAGCAACTGGGAATGAGCATGCTTTGGGTTTCTACACATGACAGCACCTAGATCAAACATTAAATATGCAGGTGCGCATGGTGATAGCATGGGCAGGGAGGAGCCTTCCTGAATAATTACTGACAGAGCGAGGTAGGCCCAGTGGTAGGTAGGCCCCACTGGGAAGGGAGAAAGGAGACAGAAGTCAGGATGAGGAGTAAACCCCATCAGGAGTACGCATGGAATTGACTTTATCATTTTTCCAGGAAATAAGAAAAGAAAAAGAAAGAGATATAGTTGGTGGTGGGGTTAAATGCAGAACACCTACATCAAGAACTGATGTTCGAAATGACTCATCAAAGCTGAAATGTAATAATAGCAAAGAGAACTTACATTTGCATGTTGCAGAATACCGTCACATATCTGATCTCGTTGAATTCTCAGAATAACTCTGTGGCTGAGGTGCTAGATAAGGGGGCGTGTGTGTGTGTGCGTGTGCGCGCGTGTACACTCTGTTGTTGCACTCGTCTCTTCAATTGGAGATGACTAAGGTTCAGAGAGGAGAAGTGATGTGTCCGCTGCCCCTAAGGGAAGCTGCTGGAACCAGAAGGTGGGCTTGTGAGTCTCTGGGTCCAGAGCCACATCCCCTTTATTCAAGGGCAGGGAGCCAGCTCCTTTGATCTAAAAGCTAAAGGTATTTGTCAAACCAAATCAGATAACATATAGAGGCTTCTCTGAGTCATGACTCAGAGGGACTCTCCACAAACTCAAGACTTCTTAGGCTGTTCTAAAAAGGAAGATAGAAACCCATGAGTCAGCTGACTTGTTGGCTGATACAGAGCGGTTCTCGGCTTGAACTGGGCAACAGTTTGACTTTTCAGAATCTGGGGCAGGAGACAACAGCCAGGGGTGGTGTGTTTTGACCTGCCTGCAGCAGCAGGAGGCATATAGGACAGCGGGTGTGGGCCCTGCTCCTGCTGTTCCTGTCGGTCAGCTTCAGATGGAGCGAGCGAGAGAGTCAGGAAAATGGAGTGGAAGAGTTGAAATCACACGAGACTGCTCAGCTGGTCCTCGCCTTCTCAGATTTATCCACGAACCTTGGAACCTGTGAGACCGCAGAACAGAAATACCACTGACCGGCTCCCAGACATACCTTCTGCTGTTATTAAATATCTCTGTTATACATGTCCTATCGCCCAACAAAGTGATGAGAACTTCAGGGGCACACGATTGGTTTAAATAACTTCTTACCCCACTATGTAGTGTTCTGAATATATAAGACAAATCTCAAGGCTCCAGTCCCTGGTGGTCCAGTAGTTAAGACTCTGTGCTTCCAATGCAGGGTGCGCAGGTCTGATCCCTGGTTGGGAAACTAAAATCCCAAATGCCACGTGGCATGGCCAAAAACTTATTAATTAAAAAAAAAATTTTTTTTTAAATCTCAGGAGATTGTTTTGATTATAGGAAAGACTTCAAATTTGTTTTTAAAAAATTCTTTTATATGACTCTGTATGATGAGATTCCTTGATTTCTCTTCCCTCTCCTTCAAAAGGTATCTAGATGGTCCTTTAAATCCTCATGTATTTATTCAGTGCTAGCATTGGGTCCACTGTGTGCTAGGTGCTACTACATGTGGGCCCTGTGCTAGGTGCTAGGTTGTTGTTGTTTAGTCACTAAGTTGTATCTGACTCTTTGTTACCCCACGGACTGTAGCCCACCAGGCTCCTCTGTCCATGGGATTTCCCAAGCAAGAATGCTAGAGTGGGTTGCCATTTCCTCCTCCAGGGGATCTTTCTGGCTCAGGGATTGAACCCATGTCTCCTGCAGGTTCTTTACCACTGAGCCACCTGGGAAGCAGGTATCTGAAGGTAAACAAGAGTCTGCCCACCTTCATGACAGTTAGAGTTCAGGTGATGTAGGCTGGCGTGGTTGAAAGAAAGCCCAGAGACTGTCTAATTCAACTGCCTCATTTTAACAGTGAGAAAATGAAAGACCCAGAGAAGGGTGGCATCTTGCTGAAGGTCACACGGCAGTCCATGGCAAAGTCAGATAAAGAAAATAGTTCTCCTTTTCAATTAAGATCTTGATCTGGAGTTATTCTGGAGGCCAAAAAAAGCATTATCTCCCTTCCCTTCTGTCCCAACTCAGCAAATCTCTTTCTTGGCTTCTTGATTATTGGAGAAAGTGAATGTTTTCCTACCCTGTCATTTCTGGAACTAAGCAAGGCCTGTTAGCAATAAACCAGAGTTCCCTCATTCTCTGGAATTCTTTCTCCTATGTCCTTTGCAAACCCCGCTCTCCACCGAGGCGCTTCGTCTTGTAACTGGAGCCCCAGGACCAGGGGAAACATGCTGCTTGAGTTTTAATTTTTTTCACAAGAAGCAGAATATATTAACTCCATCTCAGAAAATACCATGAAGTTCCAGTTCACTGTTGTCTAAAAGATTCTTTATGGAAGGAATACCGATACTCTATGTGTTAGGGTTCTCTGGAGAAAGAGAGATTTATTTTAAGGAACTGGCTCCTGTAATCATGAAGGCTGCTAAGTCCAAGCTCTGCAGGGTAGGCCAGCACACTGGAGACCCAGGGAAGAGCCAGTACTGTAGTTCAAATCCAAAGGCCATCTACCAGCAGAACTCCCTGTTGCTTGGGAGAGGTCAGTCTTTGTTCTAATCAGGCCTTCCACAGATTGAATGAGGCCCACTCCCTTTATGGAGACAACCTGCTTTACTCTAAATGTTAATCTCATTATCATAACATATCATGTTCATGTTCTCATAGAAACACCCAGAATAACATTTGAGCAGATATCTGGGCACCATGGCCCAGCCAAGTTGACACATAAAAGTAACCATCAGGGGAAGTTCAAGAGGGAAGGGACATAGGTATACCTAGAGCTGATTCACGTTGATGTTTGGCAGAAACCAACACATTGTTGTAGCGCAATTATCCTTCGATTAAAAATAAATAAATTTAATTATTAAAAAATTAACTATTATGATAATATGAGCTGAAATTTTTACTACCCCCAGAGTCATATCAGAATTCTGAAGTCATCATGTGGGTGTCAGTTGCTGGGGGAACCACTAGATACAAAGTCCTCGTGAAACTAGAGATCAGCATCAAGGGAGAAGGATGCCTGGGGAGACTAAAACCCATCAGTGGACAGAAATGTGATTCTAAAAGACCACTCAGAAGGTTTCATTTTGGCAAACCTAGAGACTCCCTGGCCCTCATCCTTTTTTTTTTTTTTCTGTTCTGTGTCATAGATGAAGAGGAGGAAAATTCAGAAACCAAAGACCAGATAGAAGGACATTGCCTTGCTCTTCATTTTCAGATACGCTTGTGGACCAGAGTTCTAACAACCAGACCTTTGGGGCTGAGATCCTTCCTCTGCTGATTCCTCCTTATACAGAGAACTGAGACACTTGGCTTTGCACTTAGAGTGAGCTTGCAGCTGTAGAAGAAGGTCTGTGAGGCTCAGTGAAGCTGCAGCAGCCTTCCTGCCTGTGTCCCAAGAAGGGCTTGGAACAGGGAGAATCGTTTACATTCTACCAGTACCACTGTGCCAGCCACTGCTCCAGATGTTGGCTGCACCACAGTGGACAGAAGCCACCGAAATCCTTGCTTTCCAGTTTACATTCTACTTTTTGAGGCAGACAATCAATACACACTATACCTAAGTGCAATGCAAACTAGAATACACTAATGACAAGGGCTAAAGACAAAAATAAAGCAGGGAAGGGAACTAGGAGATGTTGGGGAATGGATGTTCCCATTTCACATAAGGTGGCTAAAGAAAGCCTCACTGAGAAAATGATATCTGAGTAAAAACCATGGACATCCCTGGTGGTCTAGTGGTTAAGACTCAGCGCTTCCACTGCAGGGCATCCCAGGTCAGGAACCAAGATCCCACATGCCACATGACATGGCCAAAAAATAGACCAGGCACAAGTGAAAAAGTGAGGAAAAGTGAGGAATGCAGACATCTAGGGAAAGAGCATTTCAGGCAGGCAGAAGACCGTTGTGGGTTGATTTGTTACCCAACAGAGACATTAAAGTCGAATTTCCTGGTACCTATAAAATTTGCCCTTATTTGGGAATAGAGGCTTTGTAGATGTAATCAAGTTCAGATGAGGTCATTAGGGTGGGTCCCAATCCAATAGGTATGACTGGCCTCCTTATAAGAGGACACAAAGACACAGATACAGAGGGGGAAGGCCTTGTGATGACTGCGTCAGAGACTGGAGAAAGGCAGCTGCAAGCCAAGGACTGCCAAGTATTCCTGACCACCCTCAGCAACCGGGAAGAGGCAAGGAGGTGTTCTCCCCTGCAGGATTCAGAGGGCGCACAGCCCTGCCAACACCTCGATTTTGAACTTCTAGCCATCAGAACCTTGAGACAATGCATTTCTGAGGTTTTGAGCCACCCAGTTTGGGGTATTTTTGTTAACAGCCATCCTGGGAATGAATACAGCCATGGAGTAGAAATGTGCCTGGTGTGTTGAAGGAATATGGAAGCCAGTGTAGCAGGGGTGGGAGTAATAGGAGGTCAGAGCGGTTACATAACAGATGGTGAGATGACAGCACTTTATGGGTCAGAGAAGTCATGTGATTTTCTTCTTCCACAGGTTCACATACACTGTATTTATAGGGGAAAGGAAATGTATAGAAGAACCTGGATTATATTAGGTAGGAGAAATAATCCTAAGGAGTCATGAAAAAGTTCCCAAATTGTACAAATACGAACACTTATGATTAAATCTTTCATTTGTTCTTTATGTCTATTTTCATCTATAGTGCCAATGCACAGTTAATTTTAAAAAGATGAAATTTTTATTTTCAAAACAGATCACTAGGTGGCAAAGCATGAACTCTCTTACCTCTTATTGCTAGTTGATGACATTAGTGACCAACTGGGCTGGTCAGACGATAATCACATGACCCCAAAGTTCCAAATGTCAGCCTCAGTTACCCCCTCTGCCGCCTTACAGGTTTAGTGTCTGCAGCCAACACATCTGGTCTCTCTGTATTTCGCGGAGATCTGTGACCAGGCTTTCTCTTGGGTCAGATGTCCACTTCTGAGCCAAGGCCCAGATCAGGACTGAGAACTGGGTCATTTTGGATGGAAAACTGCCCTCCATCCTAGACTATGGGTGGGGAGTTTATTTTCTAAAAAAGAGGATACGAGAGTGGGAAGGATATAAAAGGCATCTCTAGCACAAAAATCTTTACCTATGGGACTTCTCATGTGGGTCCTGGAATTAAGACTCTGTGCTCCCAATGCAGGGGACCCAGGTTTGAAATCCACTTGCTGCAACTAAGACCTGGCACACTCAACTAAATAAATGAATATTTTAAAAAATCCTCACCTATGGTATTATAGAAGAAATCTTCAACTTGAAGCTAGTGATCAGCTTTGAGCTCCCCCTCTGCCATATTATTTGTATGATTAATTGTAGTTGTAGTATTAATTTGTATGATTATTATAATAATTATTAATAACTATAGTAATAGCCACAAATTAACTATACTTATAAATTAATTACAATTTATAATGATAAATTATGTTTTATATAATTATAAATTGATTATAATTAACATAGTAATACTAGAAATTAATTATTAATTTGTATGATTATTTGTATGTATTAATTGTATGAACTTGAATGGGGTCAATTAAACTTCTGAGTCAGTTTCCTTAACTGAAAAAAAGAGGGAATAACCCTACTTCACATGTTTGTTTTCATTTACTTATTTTTTGAACAATTCTACATTTTTTGAGATGGGCACTGAGCTAAGCACCAGAAACACAGAGATTAAAGTCATAGCCTCTGCTGCAGAGATGTCCACAGACTAGTGAAGGAGGCAGGTAAGAACACAAATTCCTTTTCTGATTAAAACAGCCAGAGTTGGCTTCTGGTATTTGCAACCAGGAACCCTGACTGATAAAACTGGTGGGCCCAGAGTAGGTGGTCCTGGATCCTGGGAAGCCAAAGGCCAACAAGTAACTTCTCCCTGATGCAAAGCCAAGACAGAGATACAGGGTTGCCTCCAGCCTGCTGTCCTTTTAGCGTTCCACCTCCACATTTTATCCTCACAATAGCTCTACCAGTAGGCAGGTGGGGTAAGTGGAAAAACAAGATTTTAAGATAAGGAAGGTGAAGTTCAGTGAGTCTAAATGGCTTCCCTGATGTCCCCAAACTAATGACAGAACCCAGACTACAATCCATATTTCTTAATTTCCACATAGAGGCTCTTTTACCCTAACGCTGAATGAGCAACTTGTACTGAATTTTTAAAACTTCATTCACAAATACTCATTAAAGATCTATTAGGGGCCAGTCACTGATTAGGACAATGGGCTCTCTTTATCCTAGGCTCAATATTATGTTCTCTGAAAAGTACTATAAAGATCAGTAGGAAGGAATTCCTTGGTGGCCCTGCAGTTAGGGCTCAGCATGTTCATCGCTGGGGTCTGGGTTCAATCCCTGGTCAGGGAACTAAGATCAACCAAGTTGCATGGTGAGGCCAGAAAAAAAAAAGTATTCCTAAATATATTCAGTTCAGTTCAATCGGTCAGTCATGTCTGACTTTTCGACCCCATGGACTGCAGCACGCCAGGCCTCCCTGTCCATCACCAACTCCAGAGTTTACCCAAACTCATGTCCATCGAGTCTGTGATGCCATCCAGTCATCTCATCCTTTGTCATCCCCTTCTCCTCCTGCCTTCAATCTTTCCCAGCATCAGGGTCTTTTCCAATGAGTCAGTTCTTTGCATCAGGTAGCCAAAGTATTGGAGTTTCGGCTTCAGCATCAGTCCTTCCAAAGAACACTCAGGACTGATCTCCTTTAGGATGGACTGGTTGGATCTCTTTGCAGTCCAAGAGACTCCCAAAAGTCTTCTCCAACACCACAGTTCATTAGGAATACATTTATTAACGACACTTTACTTTTAGGAAGCAGTATGATGTTGTTAAAACCTGAGTCAGACTGCTTGGGACCACCCCCATTTCCCCCACTTACTACCTGTGTATAGCGCATAGAGCTTCCCTGTCTACACCCTGCAATTGCTTACAGAGAACACCTGTGACTCCCTGCTTAAAGGACGTGCTTGTCGCTTTTGCAGGAGAAGCTAGGAAAAGCGGCTATTTTAATCCGAAAAGAAATTCATTTAAGAGATATCAAGAAGAAGATCACAGAACTGGCAGGAAGGCTAGAGAGTCAAACTTCGGAAATGCATGTGAAGCAAAGGAGACCACCTCAAAAGACAGAAAGACCACATCACAAAACAACTCTGCACAGGCTGCCGCCGCTCCCACTGAGCAGTGGACTCCAGCGCTGCCACAGCGCGCATTCTAAGCTGTCCCCAGGACTTAGGTCACTGGCTTCAAATTCAGGGTCTTGGCAGGCGCATAAGCAAGACCCAACTCGGATCACACGCTTGCACTCCAGCTGCCAGCAATTCAGAAGAGCAACGGTCTGGCCTCTTTTCCAGCTTCCATAAGGGGAAGACATACTCTGCCTCCCATGAGACCCATGTTTCCTGCAGTGCTGATTCCCCCAGACATAGAAAGGGGGCTCAGATGTTAGGCAGCCAATAAAAAATGGAACCCCTGACACATGTTTTATACTAGAATTCTTAAAAGTCCCATCCAACTCAGGATGTGGGGGAAGTGAGGATGTGTGCATACTGAGTCATGTCTGACTCTTCAGGACCTCATGGACTATAGCCCACCAGGCTCCTCTGTCCATGGGATTTTCCGGGCAAGAATACTGGAGTGGGTTGCCATGCCCTCCTCCAGGGGATCTTCTCAAACCAGAGATCAAAGTCAAGTCACCTGCATCTCCTGCATTGGCAGGCCAGTTCTTTACCAATTCTTTACTGAGCCACTTGGGAAGGCCTGGTTCAAAATTGGAAAACTAAAGTTAAGAGGTCATGATTTACTTAGTAGCAACAGTGACTTGAGACTTTATTTACCAGGAACTGTTCAAGGCACTGGGTACAAAGATAACTCAGACACAGATGCTGGCCTCAAGGTGCTCCTGTTGGGTAGGGAAGAAAGATAAACAAAATACTAAAATAAAGTGTGATAAGGAAAGGCCATACCTGATAGACTACAAAGTAGAAAGGGAACCCAAGAGTAAAGGATTAAACCTGGGGACCGTTGGGGTGGTCAGGAAAGCTTTCACAGAGAAGACGGGTCTAGAAGGAAGGAAGGGGAGAGGAGAAAAGAGCATTCGAGGCAAAGCCACGTCTGGTATGATTTAATCTTCTTCATCAGCCAAAATCTGGTCCTGGCATTTCCTGCTCAGTTCTTCCCCACTGCCACCAACCACAGCACACATGCTACGATGATTAAGGTCTAAAATTAGTATCAGTACGGGCCGAGTGTTATGAGAGCACTGTTAGAACCACGTTTGTTTCTGCTGGTCTCCCCGACAATGTCCAGTGCATAATGCTATTGACACACGCTTCCTGCTGCTGCTGCTGTCCGTAGATGCAACAAACCGCATGCTCAGTCAGGCCTGGGTTTTAAATAATCAGTCAGCCATTGACTAATTGTAAGGCCTCTCCACACCTCGATTTCCTGGAAAGTAAAATGAAAATCGAGCTTACTTGCCTCCCTAAGTCTGGATGAGGGGAGTTTGGGATACATGTACATGTATGGCTGAGTCCCTTCTCTGTCCATCTGAGATGACACAATATTTGTCTATTAGTTGGCTATACCTCAAAACAAAAATTAAAAAGAAAAAAAAAACTTGCCTTCCAAATAAACAAAGTCGTAGAAAAAGAGATCAGATGGTGGGTTACAGAGGAGAGAGGAGAAGGGAATTGGAGGACAGTGGGCCAAAGGTACAAGCTTTCAGTTATAAATAAGTATTGGGGAATCTAACATATGACAAGAGCTTTTAAAAATATTATTGATTTATTTGGCTTCCCCAGGTCTCAGTGTCAGCATGAGGAATCTTTAGTTGGGGCATGTGGTTTCTAGTTCTCTGTCCAGGGATCAAAACTGGGCCCCCTTCACTGGGACTGTGGAGTCTTAGCCTCTGCACCACCAGGGAAGTCCCACAACATGATTAATATATCAAAAACACTGCTCTGTGTGGAGATTTCTTAAAAAACTGGAAATAGAACTGCCATATGACCCAGCAATCCCACTTCTGGGCATACACACCAAGGAAACCAGATCTGAAAGAGACACATGCACCCCAATGTTCATCGTAGCACTGTTTATAATAGCCAGGACATGGAAGCAACCTAGATGCCCATCAGCAGACGAATGGATAAGGAAGCTGTGGTACATATACACCATGGAATATTACTCAGCCATTAAAAAGAATTCATTTGAATCAGTTCTAATGAAATGGATGAAACTAGAGCCCATTATACAGAGTGAAGTAAGCCAGAAAGATAAAGACCAATACAATATACTAACACATATATATGGAATTTACAAAGATGGTAACGATAACCCTATATGCAAAACAGAAAAAGAGACAC